TCAAATATCCATGAATTGAGCTGCGGACATTTCTTTCAATAAAAATAAGACAGTGGAGTAAACAATATCTGCCTTAATTACATTTTCTTTTAAAACATAATGAGCCATCAGAATAATGCATAAAGATACAAAACCAGACATAAATGTTAATTATAGTTTTAAAGTTAATACCCAGAGACATTCATTATTGACAGTTAATAGTAATTTATTTTTCGTACAGTGCTCAAGATAAAGTGGTTTCTAGCGGCCAGGGATTTAGCTCAGTGGTTCTGCTGCCTGCCTCACAAGAGCAGGGGCCCAAGTTTGATCCCCAGTACTAAAAAAAAAAAAAAAAAAAAAAAAAAAAAAAAAAAAAGATAAAGTGGTTTCTACACTGACTTTTAAACATAAAATAATTGCCAGTTGTGGTGGTGCAAGCCTGTACTACCTGCAGTCTGGAGGCCGAGGCAGGAGGATCGCCCTGAATTTGAGGCCAGCCTGGGCTACAGAGTGAGAGTCTATCTCAAAAAATCCAAAAAAGTATACATATAATAATAATAAAATAATAAAATAAGCCGAGGATGGTGGCACACTCCCACGATACCAGCATTTAGGAGGTTGAGGCAAGACTGCTGCTTGAGGTCCCCTTTGGTTACATATTTCAAGGCCACCCTGAACTTCACAGTGAGACCTTGTCTCAAAAAACCAAAAAATTAATTAATTAAACATAAAATAATTAAAAGAATCCATCATTTAATCACATCAACTACATATTTTAAATATTTAAAACATTATATTTATGGTTTAAAGCTAAAGTTTCTTAGTCAAGTTCACTCACAATAGCACAAATGCTAATAATCATGGGGCTAGGGTTATATAGCTCAGAGGTAGAGCACATGTATGAGTCCCTGGGTTCAATCACCATCACCAAAATAAATAAATAAATAAACAAAACAAAATAGAAAACCAATATTCACCCAATGATGAATGTAACTGTACTGTATGGGTAAAATGTACCAGTAAACTCAATGAGGGAAAAAAAATCAATGTTCAGTTTTGTTTTGTTGTTGTTGTTTTTTTTGGTACCGGCGAATGAACTAGGGTCCTTGCACTTGCAAGTCAGGCCACCAAACCGCTGAGCTAAATCCCCAGCCACTCAATGTTCAGTTTTAACAAACTACCAGATATGCAATACAGTAAGTCATTTGGCTGAGGGGTGTAGCTAAGTGGTACAGCACTTTCTAGCATACACAAGGCCCTGTGTGTGATCATCAGCATAGCAAAACAAACAACAAACAAAAAAACAACAACAACAGCTGGGTATCATGGCACATCCCTATAATCCTAGCTAATGAAGGGGCTGTGGCAGCGGGACCACAAGTTCAAAGCCAGCTTAGGCAATTTGGAAATAAAAAATACAAAGGGCTAGGAATGTACTTCAGTGTAAGACCCTGGTTCAACCCCCAATGCTGCATAAATACATAAATTAATAACCTAATACTCCAGAGCAAAGGTGCAGTACTAGACATGTAGTAACCATATAAGTATTTGCAATATAAGAGCTTAAACTACAAAAGCACTATACATATAATGACAATACAAATACACACACTAAAAATGTTTAAATTTCAAATTCTGTAAGACACTTTAAAATGGAAAATCAACTCAGTCACTAGAAGTATAATTAATTTATATAACAAAAAAAAAAGTTCTCTGAATTAAAAATACAATGCAAGGTGGGGATATAGCTCACTGGCCCCACACCTGGTTGGCAAATATAAGGTCCTGACTTCAATCCCCAGAACTGGAAACAAAACAAAACCCACAAATGCATGTAAACATATGTTGTTTTTGTTTATCCAGCAACCATTCTTTCTTCGCCAGGAAATAACACCTGACATTTCCTTGAGGAAAAGTATCTCCTGCCCTTACATCATGTGGTTTGAAACCATGTTTCCTTTTGCCCCAATCCACAGCAGGGAACAAAATCCAAACTTGCCTACATAAAGCATTCCATCATCCTGGCCACTGGAGCTGCTTCTAGGATAGGCAAAAACACAGCTCAAGCTAATGAGACTACGCTATGGGAGTTTGCTAGAATTGTGGAAAAAGGGAAGGTGTCTTTATTCTGGGGCTTCTGGGGTTTTGCTTCTATCCTTACAGTGAATCTGATACCACAGACTACTTTTCTACACAATCCCCAAATATAAAAAAGAAATGTGATTCCCTGCTGGGAGAGGAAAAAATAAATTAGGATGAGAATGCTATATTTCTATAATGTTCCCTCTTTTTTTCCCCCTTTTTTTTTTTTTTTTTT